CTATTCCAACCAGGTCTCTTAGGTCTTCCAACTCCGAGTCCTGCTTTTATTCTGCTAATAACAAGACCGGGGTATGAACAAAAATCCTGGGTGCTAACAGTCTGACTTTGGAGAAGTTTGGAACTGATCCAAACTTTTCAGCTGGTCCTGAGCTCTATAACTGTCTGAACTGAATTTGAACAGTCCTGACCTTTTAGAGAAACTCAGTTCTTAATTTGGATCCAACTGTTATGGCTTGGGACAATCTTTGCCAGTAAATGATCATTTGCACCCTTAAGCCCTTTCTATTGCTAACTCTCTGTACTTCTAAATGAAGTGCTCCCTAAATATTTATACAAGCTAGATTAATGTTTGCTTTCAGTTGTGCTGAAGTATAGAAAAATGTTTTTTCCCAGTTGCACTGTGCATGGGCTCTCTGTTTGACTGGGTGCTTTGTATTTGAAGATTGTGTATCACATTATATTATATATTATTATCTGAGAAAGCTACTGTCTCGTTATCAAATATATTGCTAGTTTAAGAGAAGAAGAATATAGTTACTGTAACGGTGTTAGCATAGGAATAATTTTGCTATAGAAATTAATTTTTTATGCCATCATGAAGAAAACCAACACTTTGTGAGTCCTTGGAGAATTTGATTTCTGGCTTTGCAGCGGGAGTGACTCAGATATTTAGCGTTATAGGCATAGACTCTTACTTACTGCCGCTGGATGCTCCTTTGCCCCAAAATTCAAATCAATCTGGGAGACTTGGAGTAAAATACCCTTTCTGAGGTGTTATTTGGGAGAATGTAATTTAATGATGGGTGTGGCTCAGAAACGTTCAGAGATCCAGTCCAGATCAATACCTGACCTTTATCCAAACTATCTGAATCTCTTGAGTTTGTAAAATTGGGCAGAGAATCACCTAATGTCAGGCTTTTTTGGCAAGATTAATGGTGTTTATCACTTCTAGACAGGATGGAACCAAAGCAAAAAAAGCACCTTTCTGGCAGCAGTTTGGCAGTTATGTTTCTGTGCCTGGCCAGAATAATAAAGATTTGGTTTGCTTGTTGGGAAAGGTTCATGTCTGTTCTATTTTTATCAGAATCAATTCACTGTTCCCTGCTTCTAAATCACCAGAAGCATCTAATGATTCATTCTCTGTCAGCAGCATGGACCTGGTAGGGGAGATCACTCACTCTTTGAGACCCAGACATAGGGTCCCTAGAAGCAGCGAAAGACAAACAGAGAATTAAAAATATACTTACTATCTATAAAGGCCTTAAGCACGTTTTACTTTAAGCATGCAACTAGTCCCATTGAACTCAATGGTACCACTCTTGCTTAAAGCTACAGACATGTTGTATGGGCCATACTATCAGAGCGGATATCAGCAGTGGTGCGGAAGCCACAGTCCCATTGGTATAAATGAGAGGAGGGTGCTGGCAGAGCATTCTCTTTGATGGTCTTGTATCTTTGGAAATAACTCTTCCTATGGTACAAAATAGCCCAAATCTGATGATCTTCAGCACACTATTATTATTTCTTTGTGTTGCAGTAACACCTAGAATTTCTTGTCACAAACCAGGGCCCTGTTGTGCTAGGTGCTGTACAAAACACAGACCAAAACGATAGTTCTTGCCCCCAGACAGTTTATAATCTAAGAACAACATGATGAAAAATAGGTGGGGGGAGCCCAAGCAAACAATGAGGCACAACTGGAATGGTGTGTGAAAGGCATGTTTGTAAGACTCATCTCTTTTCCGAGGCATTTGAAAATGGAGTGGTTGGGAGGAGGAATTATAAACTTGGTGGATTGTTTGAAGAGGATTTGAGTTTTTAAGTTATTTGGTTTCAGTGGAGTTGTTAGCTGAAATTGTACAGCTGCACTTAAGCTGTATTTTTAAGTTACCTCAAGGATGCCGAAAGCACATGGAAAGCACAAGGGTGCCTAAAGCACATTTATTCTCCTAAATAAAATAAAATGAAAAAAGGCTTAAGTGATTTGCTGGATCAGGGTCCCTATCTGATTATTTCTCTTCAATCTCATCTCTTTGGAGACAGCTTTTCAACCAGTTGGAAACAAATGTCTCTTTCATTTTCCTGTTGGAGTTGGGCTGTTAACATCCTCGCCAAACACTTCTTGATCGTCAGTTCAAAGCACCTTAAAACAAAGTGACACTTTAGCTGCATTGATGAACCTTTCTGACAGCCTAAGCTGGGGGAGGAGGCATGAGACCAACCCTGAGTACAATGCATAGACCCTAGTTGTCACATCACACCTGGGGATTTTCATTTTTTGTGACCACCCCTTTGGGTGCCTTTGATATGCCAGACAGGACAGCACCGAAAGAGGATATTTGCTCACTGCAGATCCCTTGCCTAATGTATGCAGAATGATTGAATTACGTATTTAATTTATTTCACTGATTACATGGTTTGACGTCGGTTTATCAGCTTTCGCTGTAACACCAGGAGCCGATGAAGGAGTAGCGCAGAAAGATGTATATCTGGAAATTAGCTTCAGTGATTGTTTAGTTGGTCGATATGAATCAACACTTGTGTGTCTATCATGACTAATCTCTCGAAATAAAATAGTTAATGACATGATGAGCTTTTTCTTTCAAAGCTGATGAGCTGGAGGTCAGTTCTTGCTATTTACTCAGTAGAGCTTCCTCCGTTGACAGTCAGATTGCATGTTCACAAGACACAGAACCTTGACTACACTAGGGTTCTTTAGCAAAGATGTCCCACTATTGCTAGCACTGATACAGATCCACCACTGTTAGTGATGGTGGACACCTCCTGTGGCTGCCGAGATTTTTAACACCATGTCATTTAGACCTGCTCTGAGCTTGGTGAAACAGGGTATTAAAAATTCTGACAACCATTCCATACTAGTGAGTTATTCTGGGACTAGCAACTCTAGGGAGCTTTTGCTTAAAAAAAACCCCTAATGGAGATAAGGCTCTAAGGCCTGTCAACATGTAGCCTCAGGGTCATCTAAGGGGTCTCTAAAGAGGAAGAAGAAACCATTAGCTCAGCACTTTTGCATGGAGAGCTCATAATTCTATTAAGTACTTCTGAAACCTATTTTAAAAAAAAATCACAATGGTAAATGTTGTAAGGGAGGAACACAGTTGTAAATTAAGTAAATAAATAAATAAAAACCAGGAAGGTTAAGGGGTCAGAGCTTTAAAAGCTAACCAGCAGGAGCTTAAGGCACCTATAATAAAATGTGACTGCATGGAAGACGTTCTGGGGATATTTCATAACACTGTGCTATATTCTTACCAGCCAAGAAATAGCACTGGTAGAGAGTAGGGTAATTTTACTCATCACAGAGAGTTCTCAGTAAAGATATTTCATGAACCGGGTAAAGAAGAATGAATTAAAATTATGGGTCCAAATCTGGAGTAAATCTATCCATCAGAGAGTTACTCTGAATTTTCACCGGTGTTAGTGAGATCAGACTATGGTCCAGGCTGTCCTAAAAGCAAAGTGTGAGACCAGGTTCCATAGTATTGCTAACCCTGGGTATTATGAGTCAGCCCCCAAAAATCTCAAGTAGCTTAAAAATCATTTTCTTGCTTTCTGTTTTTTGAGATTTTCACATACTTCCAGCCCTTAAATATCATGAGATTCATGATAAAATCTGGAGAGTTGGCAAGATAGAGATCCCTTGTGAGAAGCTGTGATAATAATAACACCTCCTGTCAGAGGATTTCACAGTGATTTATGATCACAAATGATTTTCGTTAAGCCTGGCAACAACCCTTTAAGGCAGAGAAGTATTTAAAATCCCTATCTTGAAAAGGAGGAACCTAAGGCATAAAGAGGCTAAGTCATCTACCCAAGGTTACACATGATGTCCATGGCAAATTTGGGAGTAGAATTCTGATCTCTGAATTCTGACTACTGTGCTTTAGTTACAAGACCATCTTCTCTTGTCTTAAGCATTAGCAGGGTGATGGAGAGCCCGGCTCTGCGAATCAGGGCTCTCGGAAATAAAAATGAAGAAAGAAATATCAGGGTTTCAAAAAGAAAATAATCATCCATCAGACTTCTTAGCATCTGCCAAAGAGAAAGGTCTGAATCTCCACTCGTGAAAAATGTTAAAATGTCAGGCACTATATATCGCTAGTGAAGCAAGTCTTAACTTGGCTTCCCACAGCCTTCCTTATCATTATTATTATTATTTTCCTTGATTCATTCTTGAACCTTGTTTAATTCCTACAGTTACACAGATATGAATGAATAAATCCTTTTGATGAAGGCCTAAGAATGTTGTTGCACTTTAAGAAAGCTAGGAGGGAAAATTTGTTTTTAAATCAGCAACATTTGTATGCTATTCACTGTTCATACTTAGTAAAAAATTTATTCACTTGGCAGTTACCCAACTTGTTTCTATTCTTATTTTGTGTTCAGACCATTCTCCTCCTGGGGACATCTAACCTTATATGTAATTACCCTACTGAGAAAGGGAAGTAGGTATAAATAACCATAACGTCCCTAACAACTAAATAGATTTTGCAGTATGTACAGTTCTCCAGGAGGCATCATCGTATTGGCTACTGATGGGGAACTTTTTTCCAGGACTGCATTTTGGTTAACTGATGGGGTATATCACTGCAGATGATGAATTTCTCAACTCCCCTTCTTGCATGGCTGGGAAGCATGTACTGTACTTGCAATAGTGATGGACTCTAAAATAGTAGATATACGAACAAACAGACACGTAACAGTATATCCTTTGTGAAAATGTACAATCTCTCCAAACAAATGGAATTGTGAAAATGAGTATGACAGACTCTAAATATGTAATTTGAGTCCTTAATTAAAGTACCCTTCATCTGATTTGCTGGTCCGTACAGATGTTCACTTATTGCCGGGAGAAATGTGTAACTATTTGGCTGCAGCTACTAGGAAGAACATCTACCTACCGCCCCACAGAAGGGCGGTGGCGGTGATTTGATATATAAGCTCACTACAACAATTATCTTTTTTTTCTTTCCCAAGGTTTGTCTAAGTCGCTTGGTCTCATTGAAGGCTACGGTGGGCGTGGTAAAGGTGGGCTTCCTGCTACCCTTTCCCCGGCGGAGGAAGAGAAAGCTAAGGGGCCACACGAGAAATATGGCTATAATTCCTACCTCAGTGAGAAAATTTCACTGGATCGTTCCATACCGGATTATCGTCCAACCAAGTAAGTATCCTTTATTATCAACATCTCAGAACCACCGGTGTGAACGATAAGCCAGCAGTGTTGATTTCCTCCATAGAATCATAGAATGATAGGACTGGAAGGGACCTCGAGAGGTCATCTAGTCCAGTCCCCTGCACTCAAGGCAGGACTAAGTATTATCTAGCCCATTCCTGACAGGTATTTGCTCTTAAAAATCTCCAGTGATGGATATTCCACAACTTCCATAGGCAATTTATTCCAGTGCTTAACCACTCTGACAGTTAGGAAGTTTTTCCTAATGTCCAACCTAAACCTCCTGTGCTGCAGTTTAAGCCCATTGCTTCTTGTCCTATCCTCAGAGGTTAAGAAGAACAATTTTTCCTCCCTCCTCCTTGCAATGACCTTTTACATACTTGAAAACTGTTGTCATGTCCCCTCTCAGTCTTCTCTTTTCCACATTAAACAAACCCAATTTTTTCAATCTTCCTTCATAGGTCATGTTTTTTAGACCTTTAATCATTTTTGTTGCTCTTCTCTGGACTTTCTCCAATTTGTCCACATCTTTCCTGAAATGTGGAGCCCAGGATTAGTAAAGTAGAAGAATTTCTTCTCCTGTCTTGCTTACAATGCTCCTGCTAATGCATCCCAGAAGGATCTTTGCTTTTTTTGCAACAGTGTTACATTATTGACTCATATTTAGCTTGTGGTCCACTATGACTCCCAGCTCCCTTTTCGCAGTACTCTTTCCTAGGCAGTCATTTCCCATTTTGTATGTATGCAACTGATCGTTCCTTCCTAAATGGAGTACTTTGCATTTATCCTTATTGAATTTCATCCTATTTACTTCAGACCATTTCTCCAGTTTGTCCAGATCATTTTGAATTTGAATCCTATCCTCCAAAGAACTTGCGACCGCTCCCAGCTTGGCATCGTCTGCAAACTTCAGAAGTGTACTCTGTATGCCATTATCTAAATCATTGATGCAGATATTGAACAGAACCAGACCCAGAACTGATCCCTGTGGGACCCACTCATTATGCCCTTCCAGCATGAATGTGAACCACTGATAACTACTCTCTGGGAATGGTTTTCCAACCAGTTTTGCACCCACCTTATAGTAGCTCCATCTAGGTTGCATTTCCCTAGTTTGTTTATGAGTAGGTCATGCGAGACAGTACAAAAGCTTTACTAAAGTCAAGATATACCACATCTACCGCTTCCTCCCTATCCACAAGGCTTGTTACCCTGTCAAAGAAAGCTATCAGGTTGGTTTGACATGATTTGTTTTTGACAAATCCATGCTGACTGTTACTTACCACCTTATTATCTTCTAGATGTTTGCAAATTGATTGCTTAATTATTTGCTCCATTATCTTTCCGGGTACAGAAGTTAAGCTGACCGGTCTGTAATTCCCTGGGTTGTCCTTATTTCCCTTTTATTAGATTGGCACTATAGTTGCCCTTTTCCAGTCTTCTGGAATCTCCCCAGTCTTCTGTGACTTTTCAAAGTTAATCGCTAATGGCTCAGATATCTCCTAAGTCAGCTCCTTGAGTATTCTAGGATGCATTTCATCAGGCCCTGGTGACTTGAAGACATCTAATTTGTCCAAATAATTTTGAACTTCTTCTTTCCCTATTTTAGCCTCTTCTGAACCTACCTCATTTTCACTGGCATTCACTATGTTAGACGTCCAATCACCACCAACCTTCTTGGTGAAAACCGAAACAAAGAAGTCATTAAGCACCTCTGCCATTTCCACTTTTTCTGTTATTCTCCCCCGCCCCCGCCTCAATTTGTAACGGGCCTACCCTGTCCTTGGTCTTCCTCTTGCTTCTAGTCTATTTGTAGAATGATCCATGATCTCAGTTGATGCTTTCTCCCTTCCTCCTTAACTCAGTCACTAGACAATCTTGTTCAACAGTGAACAATTTAATTGGTTGGGATTAAACCCAAGAGACAGTTTACCAGGACAAAACTTAATATTTTGTTTGTAAAATTGTGGGTGATGATAGGAGAGCCAAGATCCACTCCAGGCAGCAGAGCCCTGCCCACTATGGTATCAGACACAGCTTTTGCTCTTTAGAATTGGGCAAAGAGCCTCTACTTCCTTTCCCTGCCAGCTCCTTAGTCCTGCTAGAGTTCTAGGAATAAACTATTGCCCCTGCACTATGTCTCACTAGCCTTCCAGCTGAGTTGGTCTGATGGGCATCCCTGCAGTGCCAGTCTGCACTGTGCTTTAATCCACCCAGAGGATTTGCTGTTGTGGGGAAGAGAGGCCCTTCTCTCCCATCCCCAAATGGATAGATGAGCAGTCTGCCCTGGCTGCACTCCCCAAGCACGCTAGCCCAGGGAATGAGAGTTTAGGCCCAAGAATTGAACCCAAGGTGGTTCTGTACCCCACGTTAAGTTTATGAATGGGATGACTGTCTCTTTGCTCTGTATTTGCACAGAGCCTAGCACAATGGCATCCTGGTCCATGATAGGGACTCCTTCCTAGGTGCTGCAATAATACAAATAAATAATAATAATCTGATGGAGTTGCCTGTGACAGCAGGGGACTGGACTTGATGACCCAGGAGGTCCCTTCCAGTCTTATGTCCATATGTTCCTATTAAGATGGTCACCAGACACTTAAATTGTAACACTGCCATTTGGCTTTGCATCTGCTGTTAGTTGTCTCCCTCACCAACTCCATGCTAGTTGTTCAACCACACAGTTGTAACAGAAGGGAGATATGAGGAAATGCCTAACGTATGGGTCAAAAGAGCGATCTTTGCAGGTTAGGTCGATCCAAGTATTATTTATTTTATTTTCAGGTTTAGGCTCTGTAGTCAGGATGGGATGTATTAGCAGGAGTGTTGTAAGCAAGGCACAAGAAGTAATTCTTCCACTCTACTCAGGACTGATAAGGCCTCAACTGGAGTACCGTGTCCAGTTCTGGGCACCACACTTTGGGCAAGATGTGAACAAGTTGGAGAAAATCCAGAGGAGAGCAATAAAAATGATTAAAGGTCTAGAAAATATGACATGAGGAAAGATTGAAAAAAATGGGTTTGTTTAGTCTGGAGAAGACTGAGGAGGGACATAAGTCTTCAAATATGTAAAAGGTTATAAAGAAGAGGGTGCTAAATTGTTCTACTTAACCACTGAGGACAGGACAAGAAGTAATAGGCTTAAATTGCAGTAAAATAGATTTAGGTTAGACGCCAAGAAAAACTTCCTAACTGTCAGGGTAGTTGAGCACTGGAACAAATTGGAGGTTTTTAAGAACAGGTTAAACAAACACCTGTCAGGGATGATCGAGATAATACTTAGTCCTGCCTCAGTGCAGGGAACTGGACTGGATGACCTATTGAGGTCCCTTCCAGTCCTACATTTCTGTGATTCTATATTAGAGCACAATTAGCTCATGGGGGAATGCTACTTCAGCACAGATGCTTTTAAATGGAGGCTCCAAATGTCTCTGAATGGCGATGTACTCTTTTTTCCAGATAAATTTTAAGATTATAATGATGAGATATTACATTTACCTGCTAAGCACATAGAGAAGGGTAGACAAATGAGATGCCAATCATTTCGTTAAGAGTCTGGGAACAGACATTACTGGAGCTTATTTTTATTAAACTTAATTTTAGATATGTCTTACAAAATGTTCTCTGAAATGGGAAAGCGTCAGTTTGTCTGTGATGTCAGTAAAGGCTCCGATAAAATGTGTCTAGAAAGATTAAGGCACAAAAGATATATATCCACATTCCATGTCATTAGGCTAGTGACAAAGATATTACCTGGAATCTGCAGACCACTGATAATCACGCGAAAAGAAGATACGGTTACATACATAAGGCATGCTGGGAAAGGGTTAAGGACTTAATGTCATGACAAGCTGAAGTCCTTTACTTGCCTGCATGTTGAATAAGTTTCAGGCAGCCACCAATGGTTTCCAAGTCCCCCTGAACAATGAAAACAGAAATATTTAGGTGATTTTTCAAAGGGACTGAAGCCAAAATCTCCCTTTGTGCAGGCAAAATTTGCACTTGCTTATTTACATCAGCAAAATGAACTGCAGATACACATCAAAGGGTTTGCACCTCTAGCTACCTGATTTACAAATCCTACTACACTGAAAACCCCTGGGGGTGGGGGGAGAGAGCCTTCTCTAACACCTGAATATGAGCTCCTACACAAACTTTCTCATCCAGAATTCTTACCTCTAGCACAGCCAGTTAATTTGTGAGTTGAGTTTGGGAATTAATGTTCTTTGAGATGTGGGGCGGGGGGGAGGGGGGTTGAATTAATTGACATTTTTAGCTTATCACAACTCCAGTTTATTCTTCTGCAGAAACAACCGTCACATCTGGTGCGTGTTATTTTGTATTTCCCTCCCATTGAGTTTTTGCGTTTGTTACATACCGTATATGATTGTGAGACTCGGATAATATTTTGGGAGAGGGTTGATATGGGGCATTGTGGGGGTACAGTAATTTTGTTTGTCTCTGTGAAGCATTCCATAGTATATTTTTACACTTGATTCTTTGGGGATTGAGTATCTTGGCATTGTAGGTGGGCGTTTTGTCTGGTTGGGCAGTGGTTATGACTTGGCTAGAGGATTGGGAAATTTTCATTCCCCCCCTCCCTTCTTATTCCAGGTTTTGTTCTCCATTTTCCTAATACTCTTTTATTGCTGATTTTTATGAAGAGTTTTATAAAAACCATTTAAGTCAAGTGTCCTGGTCTCTGATTAAAATAGATTCAAGTCGAAGGAAATTAGCCTAAATGGATTTAAAATTGCGGCATTAGTAAGGAAAACTGTTTAAAAAAGCCCTGGCTGATAAGCATTATAAAGCAAGTATTAATTTTAAATATAACTGCAAAAACATACTCAACTCTACTGGAGACTATTTGACAATTATAATGCCCACAGACTCAAATTATTCATAGGTAGCAATTTGTGCTACTCAGTGGCACTTGTTCTTCCTTTTGTTATTTTGAGAAAAAGATAAAAAAGGAGTGCATGGCTTTC